GTGATGAGCTTAGAGGGCACTATGGTGTTGAATGCTGAGCTGTAGTCAATGAATAGCATTCTCACGTAGGTGTTCCTCTTGTCCAGGTGGGAAAGGGCAGTGTGGAGTGCGATAGAGATTGCATCATCTGTGGATCTGTTGGGGCGGTATGCAAATTGGAGTGGGTCTAGGGTTTCTGGGATTATGCTGTTGATGTGAGCCATGACCAGTCTTTCAAAGCACTTCATGGCTACAGACGTCAGTGCTACGGGTCGGTAGTCATTTAGGCAGGTTATCTTAGAGTTCTTGGGCACGGGGACTATGGTGGTCTGCTTGAAACATGTTGGTATTACAGACTCAGTCAGGGACATGTTGAAAATGTCAGTGAAGACACTTGCCAGTTGGTCAGCACATGCTCGGAGTACATGTCCTGGTAATCCGTCTGGCCCTGCGGCCTTGTGAATGTTGACCTGCTTAAAAGTCTTACTCACATCGGCTACGGAGAGCGTGATCACATAGTCGTCCGGAACAGCTGGTGCTCTCATGCATGCTTCAGTGTTGCTTGCCTCGAAGCGAGCATAGAAGTGGTTTAGCTCGTCTGGTAGGCTTGTGTCACTGGGCAGCTCGCGGCTGTGCTTCCCTTTGTAGTCTGTAATAGTTTTCAAGCCCTGCCACATCCGACGAGCGTCAGAGCCAGTGTAGTATGATTCAATCTTAGACCTGTATTGACTCTTTGCCTGTTTGATGGTTCGTCGGAGGTCATAGCGGGATTTCTTATAAGCGTCCGGGTTAGAGTCCCGTTCCTTGAAAGCGGCAGCTCTACCCTTTAGCTCAGTGCGGATGTTTCCTGTAATCCATGGCTTCTGGTTGGGGTATGTACGTACGGTCACTGTGGGGACGACATCATCGATGCACTTATTGATGAAGCCAGTGACTGATGGGGGCTTCTTAAAGAAAAACTAACAGGTCTGTGAGAGCCGGAATTCTTACTGGTTGGTAGGTGATCAAATACTTATGTCATGCAATAAAATGCAAATTAATTACTTAAAAATCATACAATGTGATTTTCTGGATTTTTGTTTTAGATTCCGTCTCTCACAGTTGAAGTGTACCTATGATAACAATTACAGACATCTACCTGCTTTGTAAGTAGGAAAACCTGCAAAATCAGCAGTGTATCAAATACTTGTTCTCCCCACTGTAGGTTAATTTAATAATTGAAAGGAAAAATGTGGATATAAGTATTTTAGGCATATCATGTGAATTAGGCCTCATGTAAAATCATTGTCAAAGCACAAGAGATACTGTTGCATGTTAGATTACAATATTTTTTTTTGGAACAGTGTAAACAACACTAAATAAATGATAAGTAATACCAGAGATTCTGTTTTAATGAAACCAAATTGTAAAGCCTTTAATATAGCATAGCAAAGTTTCAAAACAGATGGATTTGTGAAATTTCTTTATTCAACATTTTGTGTTTTCATGAGGCTTGGGGATCACAGAATCAGCAGGATATTAAACAAACCTTCAAATAGGCAACAGAAGCAGGAACATAAGCATAGGGCTGAGTGACTCACTCATTCCTGTTTTTGCTTTGTCATTATGGGGTAGTGTGTAGATTGATGAGGAGGAAAAAAAACAATTTGATCAATTTTAGAATAATGCTGTAACATAATAAAATGTGGAAAAAGTCAAGGGGTCTGAATACTTTCTAAAGGCACTTACTTGTCTACTATTCACACCCTTGCTTCATTCCAGCTAGTTAGATGTGCAACCACTGACTAACTATAGCTAGGGTATATTTTTAGTCTAGCAATAGATACTGTTGTTTTGGCTTTATAGCATCATTTAATAAGATTATATTATATCAGTTAGATAACCATTTACAGTAACAGCAGTTCATTAGTAAGTCAATACACACTAAATCTTATGCAGGAATTGAGAAATCTTACCTTATCTTCGCACTTTGGCATTGTATGGGCAGCTATTAACCCATTAGAGTCTAAGCCCTGTCTAAAATGCAAAAAAGTAGATATCTCTAGCTGACAGTATTCTATGGGGATTTTTTATAACTCTATTTAACATGGACATCAACCTTAGGGGGTTAATCAATTAATTAATAGATAATAGATTCATATAATGGAGTTAGAAGGGTGAGCTAGAACGGTGACCTCCTACTTTGAAAGGACAGGAAGTGTTGGCTGTGCACTTTACCAGGCATTCCACATTTAACCCCACACACATTTGAACATGAAAATATCAAGCTGTTTTTTGGTTTTATTTGTAACAACGAAAAAACAAACAACTTTTACATTTTGCGATTTTTATGAAAAAGCGAACAAACAGACCGTTTTTACGTTCCCGATTGATCCATTTTAACTTGGAAAACAAACTATCAAAACTTACACAGACCATAATCTTACCTCAGGAATCTTGATTTAATGTTGTCCTTGAAATAGTCTAATTATCCTGACCACCATAACAACATAGACACCAAAATGTTCTGTCAATCCTCGAGATAAACATTAATTCCGGCACTTTGGCAGTTGCTAAATCGCGTGCAGTATCACACAAGCTCTTGTTTTCCTTTCCTGAATCAGCTGATGTTGCGCAATAAAGACCCCACATAACTAAACAGCTAGACATCAAACGGCATCAAAAAACTACTATGGATAATTATTGAAGAACCCGTTAATGACAGTATTGATTTTTTGTTTTGTTATTAAGCTCTACGGGATCGGTGTCCCGTATACGGGACAGTTGAGCTAATCTGCGCTAATGTGATTAGCATGACTGTTGTAAGTAACAGCAAACCTTCCAGGACATAGACATGTCTTATATGGACAGAAAGCTTAAATTCATGTTAATCTAACTGCACTCTCCAATTTACAGTAGCTATTACAGTGAAAAAATACCATGCTATTGTTTGACGAGAGTGCACAACAACAAAAAAGTTATCATGGCAACTGGTTTGATACATTCACATCTGAAGGTAAATAATGTACTTACATTCAGTAATCTTGCTCTGATTTGTCATCCTAAGGGTCCCAGAGATACAATGTAGCATAGTTTTGTTTGATAAAATCATTTTTTATATTCAAATGTAGGAACTGGGTTCTACAGTTTGAACCCCTGCTGTCTCTGGCTCCACACCCACCCCGCCCAGTCATCTAGATGAGTGAAAGTTAGTGTATAAGCTAATTATCCATCATGTATGACATTCCTGGGAGTGTGTAAACTTACATTTTGTATTACCATATCATATTTGTATGTTCTCTATAGTTATGTACTTGAAAATGTATCAATTGACCAATACAGCACATTTGGACTTGATACAAAATAGTCCAGTATTGCAATGCTTCACTGGATCGATCTGAAACTTTGCACGCACACTGTGGCCAAAATCTAAATTGCGCCTAAACTGCAATATTATATTGTGGCATTTCTCTTGCATTTCAAAGATGATAAAACAAAAATAGAAAACACATGTTTTTTTTTGTAGTATCTTTTACCAGATCTAATGTGTTAGATTCTCCTACATTAATTTCACATTTCCACAAACTTCAAAGTGTTTCCTTTCAAATGGTATCAAGAATATGCATATCCTTGCTTCAGGTCCTGAGCTACAGGCATTTAGATTTGGGTATGTTATTTTAGACGAAAATTGAAAAAAAGGGTCCGATCCTTAAGAGATTAATCATATTTACTCTTTCTGTTTGAAGCATTGGATTTTGCAATCACATACATTATTTTGGATATGTGTGCCCATGAAAACTGTTTTCACATTGTAACATAGGGAGATACAAAATGTTACGAGATTACAGTACATTTCCGAGATCTCCATACAAAAAAAAGAGTCTTGAGAGCAATATCCAGGAATTTCACAGGATCAAGGTCAATGTGTAATTCAATTGTTAATAAATGCTTAGTATATGATATAACAACAAACAGTGTCATGAATGTAAGGAAAGGTAATGTTTTATGTCACACGATTTTTGCCAAATCTGTAAAGACTCTAAGAATGAGAAAGGGTTTAAACAACTCATTAATTATATTAATGTACGGTATCTATGTTCCCTCTTTATATCTTAATGTATTCACATTTTAAAAAAGCAAATTATTATTAATGACTTTGTAATAGCTCTGGTAACTGGTACCCTAATTTATAGAAAGACCCTTATCTGTTTTGAGTTTTGTGCTAAGAGTTGTGAAAGTTGACCACATACCTCAGAGTGAAAAAGAGAAAAACCTGTATAAATAATGTCTGTTAGTGGTCGAGGGAAAGAGAAAAAGAAAGAGAGATAAGGAGAGATAAGGAGAGAAAAACAGACAGAGAGAGAACAGTTCCTACATCTCTGGAGACTAAAGTGTAATTTCTGCCATTTCCTTTTCCTATTACATGTTCATTTTTCAATTAGTTAACGATTTCTCCTGCTCCCGCTGTTCGGGACACACAGTGTTGTTTCGAGCCAACTGTTGCTATGAAACCGCTCAATTACTACCACTAAACAAGCCTCCCGAGTGGCGCAGAGGTCTAAGACACTGCAGTGCTTGAGGCATCACTACAGCCGGCCGCGACTGGGAGACCCATGAGGCTGCGCACAATTGGCCTAGCGTCGTCCGGGTTAGGGGATGGTTTGGCCGGCCGGGATGTCCTTGTCCCATCTCGCTCTAGCGACCCCTTGTGGCGTGCCGGGCACATGCACGCTGACTTCGGTTGCCAGTTGTCCGGTGTTTCCTCCGACACATTGGTGCGGCTGGCTTCCGGGTTAAGCGAACAGTGTGTCAAGAAGCAGTGCGGCTTGGAAGGGTCGTGTTTCGGAGGACGCATGGCTCTCAACCTTCGCCTCTCCCGAGTCCGTACGGGAGTTGCAGCGATGGGACAAGACTGTAAATACCAATTGGATATCACGCAAATTGGGGTAAAAAGTAACATAGAAATGATATTGTTACCATGACAACTCCATCTCTCCATCTCAGATCACCACTCGAGGCCCAGCTCAGAAAAGCAGAGCCCCATGACCCAGAAACACAGCCCCCAGGCCCAGCCCAGCCCCGTAGCCAACCAGCCAAGCCAAGGTATATCCCAGCTGGGTCAGGCACCGGGCCAGACAACCACCACCCAGGCAGGCCCAGCAACACCACCCGCTCCAGCCCAGCCAGGCCAAGTACCAGCAGCAGCCACACAGCCTACCCCAGGAGCAGGCGCCCAGCCCAGCCCAGCAGGGGCCCAGCCACCCGGCCATCCTCCCCCGCTCTATCTCCACGACAACAGGTATTTATGGTAGAGATGGAGGAATGCTTGACGCTATCTGTCAGTGTCAGTCATTACGGTCACCAGTCACAACTACAGTTAAGAGGATGCTTTTCCTGTGCCATTTGGGAATGACAGAGATATTACATTGCATTTTGTGTGTGTGTGAGCGGGTGTGGCGAGCGTGAGTCTGCGTGCGTGCATGCATTTCCAATTAGCGAGAGCGTGGACTTGGGTTGTATGTGTGCAGGGTAGACGGACGTATGCTAAGATTGTGGATGTTTGTATACATTTACGGATGTGTGTGTGTTATTTAAGTGGGCTTCAGCGGTTTAAGTCTCTCTTTCTCTCTCTCTCTGCTCTGTTGCGCAACACACCACTTATCTCTGACGGCAAAGTGAATAATTTACCTTTAGATATCCTCTGTATAATACATGGTGCCCAGCCGGAGGGCTTATGTTCCCTGTCACACCCAGAGAGAGAGCTGCCTCCGTGAAGGGTTCTTGTGTGTGTGTGCCTGTGTGTGTGTGTGCTTGTGTGTATGTCACACCCAAAGAGAGAGCTGCCTTTATGAAGTGTGTTTGTGGGTTTATACCTCCTGAATAAAAGTGAAAGCTCTATGAACATTTTAGCAAAGGGGAATGATATTGCCTTTACCTTGTGATTCACCCAGACAGCAAACATACAAAGTAATCCCTACACACCTCAGACCACGGCATAGCTACACCCAACACATCATGCCAATAGTCACAGCGCTGATCTGGGTTTGAATCACCTGAACTCAACATCTTATTTATTACTTCTGTTTATTGTGATGACTGAGGAAAACAGGACTGTTTAAGGAAGGAAAATTATTAAGTTCTTGCTGCTGGCCTTGGCAATGATGAGTGTGTGTGTGCGCATGTGTGCGCGTGCGCACTTGCATTACATTGGGAATATGGTGCCATTTGGGATCACACTCTTTTTCAACCTCATATTTGTCTGTTGTCCATAGGTCAGAGGTGAAAGCCAGGCAGGACGTGAAACCGGACATCCGCCAGCCTCCATTCACCGACTACCAGCAGCCCCCCATCGACTACCGGCACCCTCCTGTGGCTGATTACCGGCAGCCGCCCACTCTGGACTACCTGCACCCTCCTCCCCTCATCGACTACAGACAACACTCGACAACCCTTGCTGCACAGTTCCCTCTAGCACAGTTTCCCCCAGACTTCAGACCACAGGTAAGCCTGCACATCCCATAAACCACTACTACGGTACACACCACATGTACGACTACATACCCCAGAATTCCCTAGTACAAACAACACTCAAAAGCTGCACAGCTTTCACTGGTGCAGTTCCACCCGGACTTCAGACCACAGATAAGACTGCATATCCTAGAATCCCCTACTAAACATCACAGTTGAGACTACATATCCGAGAATCCCCTATTTCAGAAAAAACTCAGTGGACAGACAGTTCCCTTTAGGGCAGTTCCCCCAGACTTCAGACCACAGGTAAGTCTGTGCATCCCAGAATCCTCTACTGGACACCACAGGTAAGACAACATACCCAGAATCCCATATTACAGACAGCATGTAAAACTACACATCCCAGACTAGAGACAGGTTATAGGTTGGCTATATATTTTATGACTGTTGCTTCTTGGTTGTGTGTTGTGCACAGGACTTTGACTACTTCACGGTAGAGCTGGAGAAGAGTGTGAAGGGTTTTGGCTTCAGTCTCCGTGGGGGACGGGAGTACAAGATGGATCTGTTTGTTTTGCGGCTCGCTGAGGACGGGCCAGCCATCCGCAATGGCAGAATGAGGGTGAGGGACAGCACTTCCTGTCCTGACTGCAACGCAGTAACATTATTTTCCAACCCAATAGTGATGCAGTACTTCATACAGTTTGACCTCTCTCTTTTGCTCTCTCTCAGGTGGGGGATCAAATCATTGAGATAAATGGGGACAGTACTCGGGACATGACTCATGCCCGGGCCATCGAGTTGATCAAGGCGGGGTGCAGGCGGGTGAGACTGTTGCTGAAGAGAGGCACGGGACAGGTGCCTGAGTATGGTGGGTCTCCCCCAAATAAACCTCCATCTTTATTTTTCTCTCTTTTTCCCTCTATCGCTTTATAATTTTTCTCTCTCTTTGATTATATCTTTCTCTCTCAATCTTTCTTTTTGGTTGACTATCTCTCTCTTTTGCTAGTTTTTTTTTATTTCTCTCTTGTTCCCTTTCATCATCGCTCACTCTCTCTTTCTCTGTTTCTCTCTCTTTCTCTCTCTCTCAATTTCAATTCAATTCAAAGGGCTTTATTGGCATGGGAAACATATGTTTACATTTGTGAAATATATAATAAACAAAAGTGAAATAAACAATAAAAAATGAACAGTAAACATTACACTCACAAAAGTTCCAAAGGAATATAGACATTTCAAATGTGATATTATGGCTATATACAGTGTTGTAACGATGTGCAAATAGTTGCAGTACAAAAGGGTAAATAAATAAACATAAATATGGGTTGTATTTACAATGGTGTTTGTTCTTCACTGGTTGCCCTTTTCTTGTGACAACAGGTCACACATATTGCTGCTGTGATGGCACACTGTGGTATTTCACCCAATAGATATGGGAGTTAATCAAAATTGGATTTGTTTTCGAATTCTTTGTGGGTCTGTGTAATCTGAGGGAAATATGTGACCGAACCAGCTTGATTCTGTGATGAGTGTGATAGAAGGAGTCAGGTGCAGGAGGGTAAATCACCGAATCCAGAGTTTATTCCATCGTACATAAATAGCACTGGATAGCGACAAGCGAAACAGGCACAGGGGAAATATCTACCCCGGCAATAATAAGGTACAAGTAGCTCCACCGAGCTACACTACTCTCGAAATATAAACAATCACCCACAAGGACAAGGGGGGCATAGGGAACACTTATACACGGACTAATGAGGGATAAGAACCAGGTTTGTGTGTGATTGACAAGACAAGACAAATGGAATGATGAATAATGGAGCGGCAGTGGCTCCAGAAGCGCGCCGACCCCGGCCTCGGGGACGGCCAGGAGGATGCAGAGCAGTGCGAGCCGGATGGTGACGGTGGAAATCCCGCAACAGGGAGGGATCGAGGATATCCCTCACCGGGACCCAGCACCGTTCCTCCGGACCGTACCCCTCCCACTCCACGAGGTACTGAAGGCCCCCCACCCGACGCCTCGAATCCAGGATGGAACGGACAGAGTACGCCGGGGTCCCCTCGATATCCAGAGGAGGTGGAGGAACCTCCCGCACCTCAGACTCCTGGAGCGGACCAACCATCACCGGCCTGAGGAGAGACACATGAAACGAGGGGTTAATACGGTAATCAGGGGGAAGTAATAACCTATAAGTGACCTCGTTGATTCTCCTCAGGACTTTGAACGGCCCTATAATTCGCAGGCTCAGCTTCCGGCAGGGCATGCGGAGGGGCAGATTCCGGGTCGAGAGCCAGACCAGATCCCCCGGTACGAAGACCGGGGCCTCACTGCGGTGACAGTCAGTGTTGGCCTTCTGACGATGCACGGCGCGCTGGAGGTGAACGTGGGCAGCGTCCCACGTCTCCTTCGCGCGCCGAAACCAGTCATCCACCGCAGGAGCCTCGGTCTGGCTCTGGTGCCACGGTGCCAGAACCGGTTGGTAACCTAAAACACATTGAAAAAGCGTTAGGTTAGTAGAGGAGTGGCAGAGAGAGTTCTGGGCATATTCTGCCCATGGCAAGAACACCGACCACTCCCCCGGCCGGTCCTGGCAGTAGGACCGCAGGAACCTACCCACATCCTGATTTACCCGTTCCACCTGCCCATTTGACTCGGAGTGGAACCCAGAGGTCAGGCTGACCGAGACCCCCAGACTTCCATGAACACCTTCCAAACCTTGGACGTGAACTGGGGACCTCGGTCGGACACTATATCCTCTGGCACCCCGAAGTGCCGGAAGACGTTAGTAAACAGGTCCTCCGCAGTCTGCAGGGCCGTGGGGAGACTGGGCAGAGGAAGGAGGAGGCAGGACTTGGAAAAGCGGTCCACAACGACCAGGATGGTGGTGTTACCTTGGGAGAGGGGAAGATCAGTCAGGAAATCAACACTTAGGTGAGACCATGGTCGTAGTGGAACTGGTAAGGGTTGTAACTTACCCGCTGGGAGGTGCCTAGGTGCCTTACTCTGGGCGCACACCGAGCAGGAGGAGACGTACACCCTCACGTCCTTAGCCAAGGTAGGCCACCAGTACTTTCCAATCAGACAGCACACTGTACGACCGATACCTGGGTGACCAGAGGATGGTGACGTGGGTGCCGAGAAGATCAGACGATCAGGGATAAGAGCAGGCACATACCGCAGCCCAGCTGGACACTTGAGGTGGAGATGGATCTGTGCGTAATGCCTGCTCTATATCCGCGTCCATCGCCCATACTACCGGCGCCACAATGAAGGTGGCCGGGAGTATGGGGGTGTTGTCTCTGGGCCTCTCCTCTTTGTCATACAGCCGGGACAGTGCGTATGCCTTCACGTTCTTCGTACCCGGAATGTATGACAGTGTAAAATCAAACCGGGTGAAGAATAGGTCCCACCTGGCCTGGCGAGGATTCAGCCTCCTTGCTGCCTGGATGTACTCCAGGTTACGGTGGTCCGTCCAGATGAGGAAAGGGTGTTTCACCCCTTCAAGCCAATGCCTCCACACAGTCAAAGCTTGGACAACAGCCAACAGCTCCCGATCACCAACGTTGTAGTTCTGCTCCGACGGGCTGAGCTTCTTAGAGAAGAAGGCACAGGGGCGGAGCTTGGGTGGCGTGCCTGAGTTTTGGGATAGGACAGCACCTATCCCTACCTCGGACGCATCTACCTCCACTACAAACAGTAGTGATGGATGGGGGTGGGCCAGTACCGGGGCTGAGGTGAACAGACCCCGCAGTTTGCTGAAGGCCAGGTCAGCCTCAGCAGACCAGCGGAGCCGGGACGGCCCACCCTTCAACAGGGATGTAATGGGAGCTGTGATCTTGCCAAAGCCCCGGATAAACCTCCGATAGTAGTTGGCGAAGCCAAGGAAGAGCTGCACATCCTTAACCGTGGTTGGAGTCGGCCAATTACGCATGGCTGAAATGCGATCTCCCTCCATCTCCACACCTGAGGTGGTAATGCGGTATCTGAGGAAGGAGACAGCCTGCTGGAAAAAACATACACTTCTCTGCCTTGGCATGAAGGTCATTTTCCAACAGTTGGGCCAGCACTTTGCGAACCAGGGACACATGCTCGGCGCGCGTAGCGGAATACACCAGAATGTCATCGATGTAGACCACTACACCGCGACAAAGCATATCCCGAAACACCTCGTTCACAATGGACTGGAAGACGGATGGAGCATTCATCAAACCGTAGGGCATCACCAGGTATTCATAATGCCCCGTGGTTGTGCTGAATGCTGTCTTCCACTCATCACCCTCCCGAACAATCACCAGGTTGTATGCACTCCTGAGATCTAATTTGGTGAAGAAGCGCACCCCATGCATTGACTCAATCACTGAAGGAATGAGGGGGAGAGGATAACTAAATCTTATAGTCTCCTTGCTCAGTGATCAATAATCAATGCACGGGCGCAGACCGCCGTCTTTCTTCTTCACAAAGAAGAATCTCGAGGAGGTGGGTGAAGTGGAGGGACGTATAAACCCCTGGCCCAGGGACTCGGTGATGTATGTTTCCATAACCTCCGTTTCAGCCTGCGACAGGGGGTACACATGACTCCTGGGAGGTACACGTCTACCCGAAGGTTTATCGCGCAATCCCCTGCCCGATGAGGTGGTAATTTTGTCGCCTGTGTCTTAGAAAACGTGTGCGCCAGATCAGGGGAATGCGTACGGTGGAGGTACCGTCTGGACTTTCCACCGTGGTTGCACCAACGGAAACACCTAGACACCTACCCTGACGCTCTCGCTACCACCCCGTGAGAACCCTCTGCGGCCATGAGAAGGTGGGGTTGTGGAGTGCTAGCCAAGGGATACCTAATACCACAGTGAAAGCAGGAGACTCAATAATCGAAAAAGTTACCTGCTCACAATGAGTCTCCTGGGTGATCATGGTGACTGGTACAGGGACTTCCTTTACAAACCCGGACCCTAATGGTCAACTATCAAGTGAGCTGATGGGGAGTGGAATGGATAGGGGAACCAATGAAATGCCTTGACTGCGTGAGAATGCCCTGTCCGTAAAGTTCCCAGCCGCGCCTGAATCGACTAGCGCCTTACTCTGGGGAACTGCCATGTGATCGGGAAAGTGGATAGGTAGGGTACAGTGCGCAGCAGAGAGCTCTGAATGAGTGTGGGTGTTCAATACCTGGGGTGATGCGAGAGTGCCCTGCCTGCCGCCTCCAGGCCCAAAAGAGCGTTTACTACGACGTGTGGTGTACTGTCCCTTCGTGCCACCAGAGTGGCACTATCGCTGTCGTCCTCCACTCTCTCGGATGGCGGCTCCACCCAGCTCCATCAGCTCTTGATCCAAGTCATCCGGGGTGGAAATGGGCAGACCCCTACCAGGATGTCCTCTGGCTGCCTGCAGGTTGTCCAAACGGATGGCCATGTCCACCAGTTTCGTGAAAGACAACATGTTGTCCTGGCAGGCTAGCTCTTGTCGGACTTCCTCCCGCAGATGGCACCGGAAATGGTAGATCAGGGCCTGCACGTTCCACCAGGACCCCGCTGCCAGAGTCCGAAACTCCAACGCGAAGTCCTGCGCAGTCCTCGTCCCCTGCCTCAGGTGGACCAGCCGCTTGCCCGCCTCTCGACCCTCGGGCGGGTGATTGAAGACCGCCCAAAAGAGGCAAGCCAACTCCCCGTAGTCCTCACACGCGGCTCCTCCTTTGTTCCAAACCACGTTGGCCCACTCCAGGGCTTTCCCCGAGAGGCAGCAAACGAGGACGGACACATTCTCCCGCTCCGATGGCGCCGGCCTGATGCTGGAGAAGTAAAGCTCCAGTTGGAGGAGGAATCCTTGGCAGAGCGCCGCCGTCCCGTCGAACGCTCGTGGTCGGGATATCTGGATCCCTCCGGGTGCTGGGGTGTAGGTGGCTGGATCCGGTTGGCCAGCTGGTCTCGACAGATCTAGTCCTCTCCTCTCCAGGCATTGGACGACCTGAAGAACCCGATCTATCACTTCCCCCAAGCTGGCCAGCATTGTGGAATGCTCCTGGACCATGCCACGACTCCAGGCATGCACTCATCTCCCGCTGACTCCATAGCGGGTGGGTGAATCTGTGATGAGTGTGATAGGAGTCAGTTGCAGGAGGGTAATCACCGAATGCAGAGTTTATTCAGTCGTACACAAATAGCGCTGGATAGCGACAAGCAAAACAGGCACAGGGGAAAATCTACCCTGGCAATACAAGGTAACGATAGCTCCAACAATAACAGGCACAGGGGAAATATCTACCCCGGCAATAATAAGGTATGAGTAGCTCCACCGAGCTACACTACTCTCACAAATAAACAATCACCCACAAGGACAGGGGGGGCAGAGGGAACACTTATACACGGACTAATGAGGGGATAAGAACCAGGTGTGTGTGATTGACAAGACAAGACAAATGGAAGGATGAATAATGGAGCGGCAGTGGCTAGTAAGCCGGTGACGACGAACGCCGAAACCTGCCCGAACAAGGAGGGGAGGCAGCCTCAGCAGAAGACGTGACAGATTCGGTCTTATGTAGCAAAATTTGAAATTGTGTTTTTTTACATTGGATAAAAGTAGAGACTCGGAGCTAGAAAATTGTATATCATACACTACAGTTGAGGAAATTTGATCTGGAGTGCCAGAGTGTGCTCAGATCAAAGCGTTTCACTCTCGGAGCGTTCAGAGTGCACACTGGACGCTCTGGCCAAGGAGTAGGATTGATCCGAGCGTTCTGACCTAACAACAGCACTCAAGCACCCAAGCTAACTGGCTATAACGTTGGCTAGCTTGCTAGCTAATTCCAGACACAAATGAGGGAACAGCTCACTCTGACCATTTTACTCGCCCTAGCAGAGCTGGTTAGGCTGTTTTTATGTTATCCAGAACGTTGGTGACTGCAACTATGCTGCTGGCAACAATTTAATTACGCTTTTTTTCCAACGTTTACTGACACCGGCCATATTCAACGGGTGTTGAGCGTTCGTAAATTCATCAGTTATTCTGAATTTACCAGCTACGTCTATCGACAGTTGTCGAAGTGACATCATGAACATTCTATTGAAATGGTTACTTGCATAGTTGAGTCTTTTGTTTAGACATGTTCTAGCTAGCTAGCTAAACAATGAACCATAATCCCAACTCATAACATTACTACCCTGCATTAATCTGCAGGTAGCTAACCAACCAGGTTCAATATTAGCTAGCTAGTTAACATTAGGCTATAACTAGCAATGGCTCTGAGATACGAATAATATTACTACACAGATCATAAACCTAACGTTAGCTAGCGAGCCAGCCAGCTAAACTTAGCTAGCTAGCTAGCTAACAGTATGCTTTAACTTGAAATGAAAATGACTTTCTGACAAAACGTGTAATATCTGAAAATATAGCTAGCTAGACTATCTTACCCGTATACATGGATGGACGCTTCTCCCTCTTTGTCACGGATGCCATGGTTGCCTTAGTTTGAAGATGTAATCCGAAGAAGTGTTTTATACAACAGCTTTCTGTGTGTTCACTTTTCAACTCTGTCTGCATATTTGCAATCAAACGCCAGAATTTTCTCCATCTCCTTAGCTATCATACTCTAATTCCACTGTTGATTCCACTGATTTCAAAACTCGGTCCTCAAGAAAGTGGAGAGCAACACCTTTGCAGTTTTAATACGTGATATCTTTCAAAAAAGCCTTGTTAGAAAGGATTATGTACACATACTGACCAGCTCATGTTATAGACAGAAGCGCGTTACACGGCAGACCAATCGGAACTCATCTCTCGGCATGTCCAGCTATCCATTATCTCAGCCAATCATGGCTAGCGGGAAGGTTCCTGTCTTTTCTGTGGCTAACCCAACTCGTAATTTAACAATTGTATTTGTATTTACAGATGGCATACAAGTTTGTTATTAAGGCACATGAAAGTTCACGTGTTCCAGAAGGCATTTCTGCCAAAAATGCATTTTGATAAAAATAAAATAAAAGTTTCAGTTCAAATGGCTCTCCTGTGAAGTAGTGACGCGCGACATATGCCTAGTTTCCTGAAATGAGTCACATATGTGTCTCTAATATGGTCATAGATTTGGCAGGAGGTTAGGAAGTGCAGCTCAGTTTCCTCCTCATTTTGTGGGCAGTGTGCACATAGCCTGTCTTCTCGAGAGTAAGGTCTGCCTATGTCAGCCTCTCTCAATATCAAGGCTAAGCTCACTCAGTCTGTTCATAGTCAAAGCTTTCCTTATTTTTGGGTCAGTCACAGTGGTCAGGTATTTTGCCACTGTCTACTCTCTGTTTAGGGCCAAATAGCATTCTAGTTTGCTCTGTTATTTTGTTAATTCTTTCTAATGTGTCAAGTAATTATCTTTTTGTTTTCTCATGGTTTGGTTGGGTCTAAATTCATCATCGCTCACTTTCTCTCTGTTTCTCTTTCGCTCTCTCTCTCTCTCTCTCTAGCCCCGTTTATACCTGGTTCTAACATGCGTCCGTTGTCCTGATCTTGTTCACTTTCTGATTGTGCCCACATTTGTCGACAGGTGTAGACAATCAAAAGATGCATTGTGAACTGATTGTGATTAGATCTTCGTGACCACCTCTGGAGGTAGTCAAATAAACATATTGTATGGATATCCTTGAAGTGTAAACAGATCCTGACAACGAAAGCAAATACATTATGCCAATGTCACGGTTGTTCCACCCTCTAAAAAAAAAATCACACCGGCCAGTTGAGGTAGTAGCCTAATTATGGACAACAGTAACTTTACAATTCCTCTAGAATTAAGATCATGTTCTTCATTAGAAACCAAGTGCCTACTGACACTGTGGACTGATGCCACATAAAAGTAGCCTAAAGAGTCCTTCCTACACTAAATTGGACAGTGGCCTCGCTCATGCTTACAGAAAACTATACGCCTTTACTTATCAGTTTGGACATCTTCTGCAATTTATTGCTAGCGATATGTCTGGAAAATGTTCAAAGATTCACAGAATATAATATAATAAAATAAAATCGAAAAGGATTGCATTATATTACGGGCATCAGATTCTAATTAAGTATAGGCCTAAACACTTTTACCAAAGGTAAAACATTTGACTTCCTGAAGAAGGACTGTGGTTTGGTTTCCTCCAAATCATTGATTAGTGATTATTCAGTTTCTTTCACTCATCAAGGGTTGATAGACTGATATAGCTACTAGCATTATATAATTTAAACTGAACAACAATTGTGTTAGGTATGCATGGGACAGACTATGATCGAGTCGCAGCAGAAGAGAGCAGTGGATGACAAGTGTATGGCAAGGTATAATGTGTAAGTCTAATTTTCCACCTGTGGACAGGTCAAGGTTATCGGGACAGTATTATGCCCAGTCTTAAAATGTTGGATAACAAAAGTAGCTGTAATGATGAGAGTATAAAATTATTGACTATAAAAGTGTGCTGTTTTCTGTTGATATATACAGCTTGTGTCATAAGGGGAGGTCCAAGGCAGGTAGAAATAATTTGCATACAGGAAGAGACCAGTGAATCTGGTTACAATGCAGACTCAGTGGGCAAATAAGATACACATTTTACTATCATGTGTATACGCTACTAATCTCGATCAGATAGTGATTGGATCATCTTGAAGGATGATGACAACCACATGTTAATGCTAGGTGTAATCACAGCTTCTCTCTCATACACACTAATGCAGACCACTGCAAATGTTACAACCATGTGTGCTATAAACATCAGATAATACATGAAATGTTTCATACCTACCTAATCTTACTGCTACTGCTCTGTGGAACCTGAAAGACAGCTTACCTGACACAAAACAAGCTTTAGCTAATTCAATCTGCTTCCATAACCCGACATTGAAACAACATCTGAGATGCTTCTGATGATGCTTTCTGCTTATCAAACGGTCCTTTTTGAGCTAACACTAGTGAACATGTCTGTTTTTAACACCTTTGCTTTAACTCTAATGATTGGTATAGGCTTTTACTCCACTTCCCTTAGGAATGGTACCTTCCAACCTCTCCATGTGCATGAAAGGTGACATGCTAAGCTCCCCCTATTTCTTCCTAATGGGCCACTCTAAAGATACGGTTCGTGAAAAGCTGCATGTCTTTCTCTCCATTCTGATTCTCATTTAAATCTGTGCTTGTGTTTGTGTGAATGAGTGTGTGTGTGTGTGCATGCGTGCAAGTGTGTGTGTGATAGCGTGTGTGATTGCTGGTGTGTGTGTATATCCTACATGTGTGCATGTGTATGTGCGTCACTGCGTGCCTCTGTGTCAGTGCGTGTGTATGGTAATATCTGTTTATGTGTTGAGACAATCAAGCTTGTGTTTGGTTGTGGTGCTGTCAGTAGAAAAAGCAATCAAGTCTGATGAGGAACTGCACCACAGTAGAGTATGCAATGAAGTGCACCCTCAGTAAAGTGAAACTGCTTTCAGTGTTGGCCAGGGCTATCCTCACACACACTCATGCACACGCACACACACCTCTTCAGTCACAGACCGATCTTGTCACACACAGAGTGCGTCCCAATTTGCACCCTAAATGGGCCCTAGTCAAAAGTAGTGCACTGTATAGGGAATAGGGTGCCATTTAGAACACATCCATAATGATATATATACACTCAGTGTCCAGTTTATTAGGTGCACCATCTTGTTCACAAAAATGGTTAGCTCCTACAGACAGTGAGTCACGTGGCCGTGGCTTGCTATATAAAGCAGGCAGACAGGCATCAATGCTTTCAGTTACGGAATGGGCAAAACAAATGACCTATGCGACTTTGAGCGTGGAATGATCGTCGGTGCCAGGTGCGCCGGTTCCAGTATCTCAGAAACTTCCTGGGCTTTTCACGCACGGCAGTGTCTAGGGTTTACCAAGAATGGTGCGACAAACAAAAAACATCCAGTCAACGGCAGTCCTGTCGGCGAAAACAGCTTGTTGATGAGAGGTTGAATGAGAATGGCAAAAATTGTGTAAGCTAACAGGTGGGCCACAAACAAGCAAATAACGGTGCAGTACAACAGTGGTGTGCAGAATGACCTTGTCACTGATGGGCTATTGCAGCAGACGACCACATCGGGTTCCACTCCTATCAGCTAAAAACAAGAACAACTAGCTCCAGTGTGTACGCGATCACCAACCCTGGACAATTGAGGAGTGGCAGAGTATCTCTTGGTCTGAAAAATCCCATTTCCTGTTGCGTCATGCTAATGGCAGAGACAGGATTTGGCGTAACATGCTGAACACACCGCTCGCGTTACGTGCACGTCAACGAGTGTCTGCGTAGCCAGGCTCTAAAATAGAACTTGGTTCTATTTTTGACTCTTGTCGTGCTGCAAGTCCAGCCTCTCCCATCTCTTCATTGGTTTTTAGGAGCATATATATCAAATAAAATCAAATAAAATTGTATTTGTCACATACACGTGTTTAGCAGATGTTATTCTGGGTGTAGCGAAATGCTTGTGCTTCTAGCTCCGACAGTGCAGTAATATCTAACAAGTAATATCTAACAATTTCACTACATATACCCAATACACCCAAATCTAGTAAGAAATGGAATTTAAGAATATATACATATATGAACAAGCAATGACAGAGCGGCATGGACTAAGATACAGTAGAATATTATAGAATAGAATACAGTATATACATATGAGATGAGTAGTGTAAGATATGTAAACATTATTAAAGTGACTAGTGTTCCATTTCTTAAAGTGGCCAGTGATTTCAATAGGCAGCAGCAGCCTCTAATGTGCTAGTGATGGCTATTTAACAGTCTGATGGCCTTGAGATAGAAGCTGTTTTTCATTCTCTCTGTCCCAGCTATGATGCACCTGTACTGACCTCGCCTTCTAGATGATAGCGGGGTGAATAGGCAGTGAACAGGCAGTGAACAGGAAGTCCAGGACCCAATTGCATGGGGCGGGGTTCAGACCCAGGGCCTCAAGCTTAATGATGAGCTTGGAGGGTACTATGGTGTTGAATGCTGAGCTATAGTCAATGAACAGCATTCTTACATTGGTATTCCTCTTGTCCAGATGGGATAGGGCAGTGTGCAGTGTGATGGCGATTGCATCGTCTGTAGATCTATTGGGGCGGTAAGCAAATTGAAGTGGGTCT